AGCAGTACAAAATCACAAAAAGTATTTTATTTAAAGTTGATAAGAAAATGCAATCGATGTCTCTACGTTTTACCACAGCAATAATTTTAGGTTATATTGACGAAATTAGTTTCGACTACGTAAACATGTGAGGTCTTGTATATTACTGTCACTAACTACTCTAGTCATTAAATATATTAAATTTCCTAACTCAGCATACTTCAATCAGTTAACAACTGCTCAATTCATTTCATACCCTGTGCCTGTGCTAGCGCCATTCTGGAGGATTTTTGAACTGTTATTTAGTGCTGAAAGTGGGATACTTTTTCGAGCTTCTCCCATATGAGACGGTTCTCCTTACCTCTCTCTCTCCTACCTTTACCCTTCATAGTTCGTATGTATTCAGCGATGTATGTTTTTGGTAATAATAAATAAGTTAACAATATAGTTTAAACCAGTGATTCCCAAAGTGGTCTATATCGACCCCTAGGGGTCTATGACAACCTACAAGGGGTCTACGTCAGCGAAAAAAAATTTGGGCGTCCACGATAGTGGATCTCAACGCATACACTGATAGTACCTATTTACTTCATTAGCCGAGGAGATTTAAGATTAAACCTTACAAAATTGACGCCAAATGTTGATAATTTATTATTAAAGCATCAGGTTCATCCTTCTCACTGAAAATATTGACTTATTGCTTATGTTATTTTATTTATAGTTTATTTTATGTTACGTATATTTTACATAACAGATACAAAATTTTATTTTGAGTAGTTTTAATTTAAATTCAATTAATAAATATATAAATTAACATGTGTTTTTACTTTAAGTTTTTAACACAAAACTTTACTACAGTCAGAAATTTACAGGAAATCAATATCAGGTAAGTTGGGGGTCTACCCAACACAGAAAAACATGGCAAGGGGTCTACGACACAAAAAAGTTTGGGGAACTCTGGTTTAAACGGTCGCGTGTTCGCGCTATACCTACACCTCGAAGACCTCGAGACCTCGAACTTCTCACTTGTATCTTAATTTCTCAAGGTGAGTGGCGGCGACATTCAGATTGAGATGTCTATGGACTGCGATACGGACAACAGAGAGACCATTCGTATGCTCATTTATAGCAATCAGAAAATAATGGTATATGTATTGAAATGAACGGAAATTATTTAAAAAAAACGAATTAACATGGTGTTGTTTTTTATTGTAGATAATCATCGACAAACCGTCAAGAAACCATTTGATTTAATCTAGATCAAGATAGTGCGATATAAATGATGGGTCTTGTATAGATGTTAACAATTTATGTATCCAATTTTTTCGATGAGTCTCCGTTAAAACAATAGAAAATGTAAATATATGACGTGATATTTATTATATATATTGAATTTCAAATGTAATTAAAACGTGCAGTTAATAGCATTTTACAAGAATTTGTTTTACTGTGTTGGGTGATATGTTGCAATTACATAGCGAGAAAAGAATACAGTTTAAATTCGATCCCGTTATTACCTAAGTTTATTATGTGATCGTTTTGTGATACGAGCCAAGACAACTAGACATCTTTCCGATATCGAGTCGAGGGAACCCGCTCATCCCCACGATCTCTCACAGCTGGAGTCCTGCAAGGCTCTGTCCTCTCCTGTCACCCCTCCTATTTAGCTTATTCGTTAACGATATTCCCCGGTCGCCGCCGACCCATTTAGCTTTATTCGCCGACGACACGACTGTTTACTATTCCAGTAGAAACAAGTCCCTAATCGCGAAGAAGCTTCAGAGCGCAGCCCTAGCCCTAGGACAGTGGTTCCGAAAATGGCGCATAGACATCAACCCAGCGAAAAGTACTGCGGTGCTCTTTCAGAGGGGAAGCTCCACACGGATTTCCTCCCGNTTGTTATGTAGTTATTATGATTACATCTTTTTATTACAGATTGAACGAAACTATCCATTCCGGTAACTTTCTTCTTCCCTGATCTTTTCTTACCCGGAGTCCGAAACACGGCGAGCAAGCCAGAGCCTTTAGCTTCGTTAATAATGCACCTAACAGTACTCACTGATGTTTTTGTTGCTTCCGAAGTCTGTTTTAATTTTTCCATATCATTCTTCCCCTGTTTTATAATGAAGCAATATACGTCGTACACAAATTTTCTACCCTTTCTTTTAAGTACTACACCAGTTTGTCACGGCATAGTGTATGTTTTATAAAAAATCAACAAACACTCAACAAATAGCAATGGCAACAAAGTCCACAAGCAATTATAACAAATAACTTAACGATTAATAACGATAGATTTCCACTGTACGCAAGCGTACTTTTGGGAGCAAGCGGAATGAGGGCGCGGTGCGGGACGCAAGGTTCGACTGATCTACCAATAACGCGCTCGATACGATTTCCCCTGCCGTCGCGCCTCACCCTCACCACCAAAGTGACCTAAAATTCGGTTCTGCGCAGTCAAGGTCATTTGCTCAAGAAGTTTGCCGATTACTATAACAATTTATGTATCCAATTTTTTCGATGAGTCTCCGTTAAAACAATAGAAAATGTAAATATATGACGTGATATTTATTATATATATTGAATTTCAAATGTAATTAAAACGTGCAGTTAATAGCATTTTACAAGAATTTGTTTTACTGTGTTGGGTGATATGTTGCAATTACATAGCGAGAAAAGAATACAGTTTAAATTCGATCCCGTTATTACCTAAGTTTATTATGTGATCGTTTTGTGATACGAGCCAAGACAACTAGACAAGCTAATCTGATGTTAAGTGGTTACCAGAGATCACGTTACCGCGAGAAGCTGTGACTCGCCCCTTGGCTACTAGCGAAAAGGTCCAGAGAAAAAAATTACGTGTCGTCTTCTCGCATTAAAACTGTATAATCTTAAAACTTACTAATTTTACAGGAGACAGCATGTGTCTTTTAAAGTAAGATAAAATTATGTATTAATTTTGTTAATAGTACTCAAAACATAAGTAAACTAAAAAAAAAAACTAAAACTAAACTACAACTACTACGCACTTTTGACAGTATTTATGAGAAAAATACTGGTGATACCAAATGTTTACGCATATTAACTCAATTTCGAATATTTTTGGAAATTGTACACTTTTATTGTGAAAAGGCGATCATCATTATCCAGCCTTCTCCCAGTCACCTGGGGTCGGCGCAACATGTTTTCTCCTTCTATCCTCTTCTATCATATACAATTTCTTCGCTCACTCCTTTCTTACCCATATCGTCTTTCACGCAATCCATCCATTTCTTGTTAGGTCTACCTCTTCCTCTATATCCTTCCACATTCATAGTTAACATTCTCTTAACCAACCTCATTTTCATTTCGTCTCATCACATGTCCATACAATCCCAAACGAAATAATGCGAAAAGGCGATGTGATGAACAAACTGTATGTCAGCTACTGAATGGTGAGATTAAAGTCTGAACTACACGCGTGTGTGAGGCCTACCTGGTCGTACTGGTGCGGGAAGCAACTCGTGCGCGACTGTCGCCCGTGCAGCGGCTCGCGGTTACGCCAACACGCGAGTTGGCTTGCCGCGCTTAGCGACCCGTCCACGTCCCCCGAGTACTGCAATACATTCGTTCCTCAGCTCACCTTAGCCCACTTCGATAAAGCGGCACGACATGAGAACCCTCTCATCGTGGCCGCCTGTAACTACATTCCCGATCCTGCGGACAGAACGGAAAGCAGTCGACGTCGCGCCAAACACGTCATTTCGGATCCTCCCGATCCACTAACGGTGTTTTTAGGTACCTCAAGTACCGGTCATCGTTCTCGTCTCTCTCGCTTGCGACGGGTTCGACGAATAAATTAACCAGCAGAAACAGTCCACTGAGTTTCTCGCCGGATCTTCTCAGTGGGTCGCGTTTCCGATCCGGTGGTAGATTCTGCGAAGCACGGCTCTTGCTAGGGTTCGTGTTAGCAACGTCGTCAGGTTTGAGCCCCGTGAGCTCACCTACTAGTTAAGGTTACGCTGAAATAGCCTCTCAAGCCTCTCGGCTAGGTAGGAAAAAAAAATCACCTTAGCGCATTAAGGCGAGGCCCATTTTAGTTTGGAACTGAAGAAACTATCAAGATATTTTAATACGTTTTTATTAGCTTCAGACGTATGTATGTTTGTAACGGAATCTTTGAACATGATTTTGACCCCCTTCAAAACGTCGGACTAACTCGAAATTTCGTATACCTACATAATTATTAAGGACTGATAACAATTCAATATTTAAAAAAAGATTAAAAAAAATTGAAATTCAACTAAAAATGAAAAATAAATAACAGTTTAAAAATAAAAAACTAACAAAATACGCTTTTATAGAAAATCCAACTAAAAAATAGAAAATAAATTTGAATTAAAAATAGTGTAAGAAAAAATGATTTTATTGTAAAAAAAACGTGGTGGGTATGGGCAACAGTCTCACTTTAAGCTGGAATGTATGACTCTATGTGTCAGAAAAAGATGATTGTTACACGAGCGGATTACCTTTACGGATATCTTTGATCACTAGTAAATTTCAAAATTAGAGGCATAAAGCGTTAATGTTAATAATAAAAATGTGTGCGGTCTATTCACAGTAGCAGCGTAACCATCATAATTCTCATTCCCTCGCAGGCAAAAAGTTATACCTCTGTACCTATGTGTTTGTTCCTTTTTATTTATTTTATCAAATTTCATTTTCGGGCAAAATCAAAACCTAGAAGTATTGTATCTCATAATTTCGCAAGCTAAATCTTGTAGTTGTTGATAGTATATGTAAGGTAGGTACATATACTATTTCTGTTTCTTGTTTACATTTTCATTTCATTGAGTTTCAAATCAAAATAGTGCTCAAAAAGTTTTCATTTCCAAAAAGACAAAACAATGAATTCACATAAAAGTGAATTATTCTAATAATAATAAATAATAATAAGCCTTTTATTTCCTACTAAATACTTTAACAGTTATTAACAAGTAGGATCAGTCATCACTTAACTAATTTAATACACTTTCGTAGTTTTATATAGAAACCCCGTATTGGGTAAAGGCCTCCTCCAAAGATGCCCAATTGTCTCTGTCCTGTGCGATGTTTTTCCAGTTTGGACCGGCTGTCCTTATAATCTCATCTTCCCAACGAGTCAATATCCGATAATTAAGATAATTGAGGCCTATAAAATCAAAGGCAGCTAAACGCCGTAAAGTCGTAAAATGATTTAACTATGGCGCCATCTTGTTTAGTTATTTTACGCTTTAGTGTTTTCATGTTAAAACAAATGCAGCTAAATCTGTAACAAATTCAGTTTAATTTTTTTATTTTTACTCTGTACTCAAATATAAACGAAGTTTTATCATTTAAATTCAGATTATTAGTAATATTCTCATTCTTTATAAATCTGCTTTAAAATAAAGAATATCGTAGCTACCTGAACAAAGTAATTTCAGATTCTCAAACCGCGAGTGTTGCTAACACTGGCCCTAGCAAGAACAGTACTTCGATGGATCGGGAGTATTCGTAATAACGTGTTTGGGGCCGAATTTTGTAGTTTACATTAATATTTGACAGACTTGGATTTAGCTGCCTTTGATTTTATAGGCCTCAATTATTCTAATATCCGGGTTAGTAGTTGTGGTGGGTACCTGTCGGTTGTGTTGCGGGTGCGGCGGGCGCGGCTCGGGCGGCGCGCACGGGCGGTACAGCGCCAGCAGCAGCAGGTTGGTGCGCGGCACCAGCGCGCCCGCCAGCGGCCAGCGGCACGGGTGCGGCCCGCCGCGCAGTGCGTCCGCCGCCGCGCGCGTGTGCTGCGGACGCACGCACCGCTTGTCAATCTTACGAAGCCAAAGCACCTCGACGTGTCGTCTTTTCGCATTAAAAGTGTACAATTTCCATAAATACTGGTGGTAGGACCTCTTGTGAGTCCGCGCGGGTAGGTACCACCACCCCGCCTATTTCTGCCGTGAAGCAGTAACGCGTTTCGGTTTGAAGAGCGGGGCAGCCGTTGTAACTATACTTGAGACCTTAGAACTTGTATCTCAAGGTGGGTGGCGCATTTACGTCGTAGATGCCTATGGGCTCCAATAACCACTTAACATCAGGTGGGCTGTGAGCTCGTCCACCCATCTAAGCAATAAAAAAAACACTAGCCCTAGCAAGAGCAGTGCTCCGCGGAGTCTACCACCGGATGGCGACCCACTGAGAAGGTCGGGCACCTGCAACTGGTACAGAGGGCGGGTGCGGTCGCAAGCTGCGAAGCGCGTTCTGTTGACCAGGACTCTGTCGTCGTAAAGCGACTCGAACTGGTCCGCCTCGTAGTTCTTGCGCAGTCGGTTGCTTCGCTTCATCTTCTCTTTAACAGTTTCCGCGGCCACGCTTGCTCCTACGGAACCCAACGAGATTGAACTTTGAAGCTTCACATTTAAATGATTGCGAATTGTGCCGGCTGAAGTTAGCTTATCATACATTCAGTTATGTTGCAACGTATCGGGCCATTACGGAGTAAGTTAATCGCACCTAGCTCGGCAACAAATATACCTAGTCACATTAAATATTGTATTATAGCCTCGTAAATCCGTGTTCAGTAAAGTTATACAGTATCTTAATTTATCGATGTCTGAACTTACCCTGACGTTCAGAATATAATAACCAAAGTAATACGATAAGTGTTCTTTAAGGGCCTATGCACACCACGTTTTTTAAACGCGCCGTCGACGCGCGCTTGTAGCGATACAGACGTGATACGCACGCAAGTCAGACGCAGCCCGTAGACCTTTGCACACCTGTATAAATTCAAATACGCGTTTAAATCGATACAGAAGCGATGTTAACGCTTGTATAGATACACACGCGCGTTAGCATCGCGATTGTATCGATAAAAACGACAAAAAACCGCTCTGTAGGATAAAAGCGCGCCGTGGACGCGCGTTACCAAAACGCGTGTCGACGGCGCGTTTAAAAAATGTGGTGTGCACAGACCTCATGACACATTTAGTTCCGCTTGTAGCTGTGCGACGTCATGTCCGGCTTAAGCAGAGGACGCTGTTGTCTTATTCATTTATGGCATTGATGGATAACGGCACTGAGTTGTCACTGGAGCTCACCGACATCACAACGTGAGTGCCACCACACACAAACCGTAACTGCGAGTCCGCTTCGCGGCACAAATAGGCAGGATCGTGCTACCTACCCGTGTGAGCTCACAATACCCCATAGGTACTACCAGTAAATCTAAGTTTTATTTTTGAATGATCACGTGGTTACCTAAGTACTTACCGGCGTTCACAATCGTCAAGAGTCCGATAAACTCTTGCGCAACACGAAGGACTAAAGCGATCGATCGCCATAACGATTTTAATATAGAAGGCACCATCTGGAGGAATAATGAATCAGACTTAATAGGTGCTTTTTTTTAAATCGTATAATAATTAATAGCAGAATGTCGTACACCACGTCTGTGACCGCAGTAAATTTTGTACAATCGAAGCATCGGTAATTATGAAATGAAAAGCTCAAGCCCTGCTAGTATTTATATAGTATTTATAGCTGATCCGGCAGACTTCGTAGTGCCTCAGTCGATAAATAAAAGACCTAAGCTTTTGTATTCAAAAAACTTAAAACAAACAAAAGGAATTTTTCCGACGGGGGACACATCAAAGGGAAAACAAAATTGTTATTTTATTTAATTCCGAGCATTTTCATATTTATCTACCTTTTAAATCTCCTCTGGACTTCCACAAATAATTCAAGACCAATATTTGCCAAATCGGTCCAGCCGTTCTCGAGTTTTAGCGAGACTAACGAACAGCAATTCATTTATATATACAGTCGTGGTCAACTAATTAGGGACATTCAAGATAGTGAAGGGCTATAACCGGTTATGTACATTTAAATATAAAACCCTATTGATTTCTCAGCACCTATTATTTGCATAATGTGGTCCAATTATTATGCTATAAATGGCCATAAATAAAAGATTTAATAAATAAAAAAAGTATTTAATATCAAAGATTAAACATGTGTTAAATATTAAGGTACAATTCTGTAGTGGACATTTAATTAAGGACAGTAAAGTATAATGAAAAATACAGTTACACAAAACTTATAATCTTCAGTGTTATAATATCTTTAACAGCTCCATTTTATTACGTGTAAAATCAGTACCCAGTAGCAAAACCTTTGTTAGTAATTACCGCTTTACACCGATGTGGCATAGACATTATCAGTTTCTGACATGTTTCGACAGGAATGTTTGCCCATGCCTCACAAAAAGCTTTATGAAGTTCATCCAAATTTGTATTACGATAAGTGGCAACTTTTTTCTTGATTTCGTGCCAAAGGTGCTCAATTGGGTTGAGGTCCGGGCTATTTGCTGGCCAATCTAGCACCGATACAAACTTACTGGTAAGAAACTACTTGACTGAATGGGCGGTATGTTACGGGTCGTTATCCTGCTGAAACGTTCATATAATAGGGAGATGCTCCTCAGCATAGGGAAGCATAGTTTCTTCCAATATTGCTTTGTATTGATGTTGGTCTAAGTTACCCTGAACTTTCCTCACAGGTCCCACTCCACGTCCAGAAAATGAACCCCATATTTTAATGTTTCCACCGCCATGTTTCACCTGTTTTTTTGTGAATCTTGGATTCATTTCCGCTTTTACAGGACGCCGTACATATTGCCTTCCATCTGAAGAAATCAAATTAAACTTGGTCTCGTCAGAGAAAAGTACATGTTGCCATTGGGCGTAGGTCCAATGTCTATATTTACGTGCAAATGCCAAACGAGCATTTCTATGTTCTTTCTTCAACAACGGTACTTTGCGAGCCACTCTTCCGAACAACCCTGCTTCTACCAAACGGTCGAACGGTCCTCACAGATACACCGGCTCTTTCGTTTGCCCCAAACACTTCGTGTTTAATTAAAATAGAGCCTAGAAACGGATCTTTCTTAGCTAACCTGGTTATCATTCTATCTTCTTGCGGAGTCGTTTTTCTCGATCTTTTTGTTCTGGACACATTTAAAGCTGTGTTATAGCGTTTAAATGTTGCACTGCATTACATACTATAGTTTTTGAACAATTTAAATGTTGTGCTATCCTTCGGTATGACCAACCACGCTCAACAAACTTCATGATAATTTTTCGTAGTGTTGGATCGCACAGTGCACGATGCTCTGCACTCAGCTGCAGATAGGAACAGATGGCGGTGCACTATAAAAAAAACAATCTGTTTCAAGGCCATGACCACGACCCTCAGTAATGAGGAAACCGACGCAAGGAGGAGGAGGAGTTGGATCGCAACTTTTATTTTTGCCCATTTTTCTTCAAAATAATTCTCAAAACTTAAAATAAAAAATCTGGATTGCCGCCAAAACAACCACTAAACAATAAGAAAAGAAACAAAAAAGTTAAAATTCCAATTTTGAAATTAGAACGCAATACCTCAGTGCCCCTAATTAAATGGCCAGCCAGCATTTTTTGAACCAATAGCATTATGATATTGTATCAGCTATACTGTAAAGAGGTTTAATGTTTAAGAAGTTGTTATTGTTTGTATAATCGCGCACATAAATGACTAATTACACTTACATGTAAAAGATATGGAATATTGCTAAGACTCATTGGAAAATAAAAAAAAAATTCACAATTTGGCTTAACTAGAAATTGTCCCTAATTAGTTGACCACGACTGTATATTACTGGTGGTAGGACCTCTTGTGAGTCCGCGCGGATAGGTACCACCACCCCGCCTATTTCTGCCGTGAAGTAGTAATGCGTTTCGGTTTGAAGGGTGGGGCAGCCGTTGTAACTATACTGAGACCTTTAGAACTTATATCTCAAGGTGGGTGGCGCATTAACGTTGTAGATGTCTATGGGCTCCAGTAACCACTTAACACCAGGTGGGCTGTCAGCTCGTCCACCCATCTAAGCAATAAAAAAAAAAAATATAGATTACAAAATGTGTTGTTTTGCTAGGTTAGAAAAAAAGAGATTTTGTCCCTAATTCTTTTATTGCCATAATGTAAAGATTTCGGAATGTTTGTGTCTTTCTAAAGATCGATCTGCAATGTTAATCGCCGGGTAGTGTATCCATGTATCTCTCACCAGGGCGGCGCTCGACTTATTTGTGGAAGTGAAGCACACGCTCTGGTAGTCGTGCAGCCAGTTGAGTTGGTAAACGGAAGCGTTGAGCAGCGCCGCCATCGCTGCCGGATGTAGCGCCGCCAGGTGCACCCCGGCCCCCCCGCGCGGCGCCACCACCCACCCCGCCTCGTCCACCACCACGCACATCCACGTCTCGCCGTCGCACGACACCTCGCAGCTCTCCTCGTCTTCCTCCGCGCACTGCCGCAGATCCAATATTTGTGTGCTTTTTTTTATGATTACTGGCGGCCCGAAGACGCCTTTCCAGTTTCACCAGGACGACACCTGCAATTGCTGACGACGATGCCACGACACCTGGCGTTGCTGACGTCTACTTACAAGAGCAATAAAAAGAAGCAGTCTCTCTATAAATTCACACATTTTGTGAGAACCCGATCAACAAATTGAAACATCCTTCTTCTCTATGAAATAAATGAAAACCGATTTTAAATAAAAGTGGTTATCGAAAGGATATAGAATAGAAATTGGGTGTTGTTATAGCTCTGTATGCAGAAAAGCATACAGCCCACCTGGTGGAGAGTGGTTATCGCTGCTCACGGACATCAGCAATACCAGGGGTACAGCAAAGCCTCGATCTACCGTTGAGTACTTTTCGTAAGCCTCATTCGAACAAAGTCAGTTTATAGCGCTGTAGAGAGGTGTTCATTCACCAAAGCTGGATGGTACGTGGCAAAAAAGATCCCTGCTGTGGTTCTAATAGTATGAATAAACTCTCCGCCAGTAGTGGGCGGTGCAATGGTCAAAAACGGTGGAAGTATTTGAGTGCTCTGGTCCCATGGAACATACGGTACACAATAGAGAGAACCAAAATCCCTCCGTAACTCAGAAGCTCCCAATGGTTCGCGAGAATAGGATTATCGACAATCCGAACGGCCTTACTGCCTATTTTATCCTTATAGTTCACATTGTGACATCTGTGGTTTCTTGACATCGAGTGGACTGTCAGCTTGCTCAGCAATTTCCCTCTTAATCAAAAAGTCCTCCAATTTATAGAATCTCAATAAAGGGGGCTTAAACTGATGTAACTCTATTAGCTTACCGGAATTAGCTAAACTCACCGGAAACTTAGTGATGCTGTTGAGTAAATCGTCCAGGTGGCTCGGGTAGAAGTGGAAGCCGGTTACACCGATGATGCCCTTGTCCGGGGAGGTGAGGGCTCGAGCAGCCGTTAGCCATTGTTGGCTGACAGGCACCTGTAAACATTAATTTGTTTAAGTAGCCGTCCCGACGAAGTGATCACCAACTCAACATCGAGGAATTTACAAGAAGGTATGTGGTAAATGTCACCGCAATAGTCCTTATAGTCTTTTAATATACACGTAATATGACGTTTGTACAAACGACCGTACAATAGTTAAGAACATTTTGGAAATAAAAATAAGAATAATTGAATAATATTGCAATGAAATATGCAATTATAAAAATTATGAAGTCCAGAATAACTCAATTTTATTTAAGTAACCTAGACATTGTGTTGTGTGTCGCGATCATTTGTAAAACTCTAAATATCATGAATGTTATATTCTCGGCCGGATTCCTGTATTGAACCCACAATGAGTGCTCACGAGCGTGATATTTTCTAATACGGAACTATCTTATATGTTAATATATCTGAGCATGCAGAACCCAAAATTTTATATTCAAACACTGTCTAGAAGAAACGATGACGGCTTGTGACTGATTCTGTGCGCTTAGTTCAGTGCGAGTTTTTTAAAAATCTCGATAGCGTAAAAGTTAACTCAAATTTGTATGAGTTGGAACGTTTGCCTACGTTTGTCGCTGTTCCAACTCCATACAAATTTTATTTAACTTTTACGCTATCGAGAACGTTAAAAAACTCGTACTAGGCACAATCAACATTTTTTTGGAAAGTACAACCTTTACTGTAATGATGCTCGTGAATTAAAATGAATGCATTTGAAATCATCGTGGCCTAAAGGATATATTGTTTGTGCCGGTGTTCGAATTCCTACCTAGATCTGTCGCGAAGCAGTGAGGCGTTCCGATTCTCGGGGTGTCGGGTCAGCCGATACTTTATACAATTGAGACTTAGACCTCATGTCTCATGTGGTTGGCGGTGTTCATGTAGTGATGTCTATGGGCTGCGGTAGCTCAGCATCTTGTAGGCCGTGAGACCGTTCGACCATCCCGGCAACAGTCTACTCTTGGGGATTCTTTGTCGTGCCACTCTTGTCAGAGCAGTCGTGGTCGTCATTCAGTATCATTGCTGTGGACTGATGTTATGCGCCTCACGAGCAATCGCCACCTCTCTCGGTTTCTGGTGAGCCTGGTACACTCATGCAAACAACCACCAATTACCGGGCACTAAATGTTTTTTAGAAATCAAAAGCAATACAAGTCGGTATAAGAATTAGTACAGGGAAGGGCAAATATACTTAGTCAAGGTCGGACTGGGAGTAAAACAGATTTTTTGCAGTGCAGAAGGTCATTACATTAATAATTCGATAAAAAAATTTATTGAAGATATGAATGGTGACGTCCGTAAAGATATAATACATGGCACTCATATTTGAAAGTACGACAGCAAATTGCATTTTGATAATATCTAATCGTAATCAGATCTTTTTGTCGAAATGTTACAATTTTCAGGGAATCAATAAATAAATGATTCGAAGTAAGTATAGTTACAATTTATCAGTTCTATAATTAATTTTAGTTTTGGGTTATAATAAGTGCACGCATTTCGCTAAATTTTATTTTTATGGTTTAGATGGTTGGATACTTCACGACCCACCTGGTGTGAAGTGGTTACCCGAGTCCATAGACATCTAGAACGTAAATGTCACTACCCACCTTGAGATATGAGTTCTAAGGCTTTAGTTTTATAGTGTAACGGCTGCCCCACCCTTGAAGCCGAAACTCATTACGGCTTATTGGCAAAAATAGGCAGTATGGTAGAATCTACCTTCACACCTACTCACAAAACATCCTAACACCAGTAATTACGTAAATTATAATTTTGCGGTTTGATTTTTCTTACACGATATTGTTCCTTCACCGTGGAATTCGTTCGTGAACATTTATCAAGTACGTATTTCATTAGAAAAATTGGTATCTGGCTCCGGGATTCGAACACCGTTGCATCTTTTTCACGACTTCACCTACTTACATGTTCTCTGTAAATATTACTGCCGAGGGTGAGGTTTTCTTCGGATGGTTTTCAGAACTTAAAGAATTTCGTATTTCGATATTTATTAAAATAAAACGCTCGTGCTATTTAGGTTCTGTACGTCAAGCACGATAATCCATCGAATTCGATTCTCGATACGAAAATGGATCATTACATTAGACCAGGGGCTCCCAAACTTATCTTGTCTACTGCCCACTTTGAGAATAAATTATTTTTTAGCGCCCCCATTTTTTCACCTACTTAAAAACCACTGTAGCGAAAGCTCAGTCGGTGTCTATCAGTTCTCCTTGATAAAAATTACGAATCGCCTCCCAAGCCTCTACACAATGCCCCCATTTTTTTCTGGGTCTCTTACCGCCCCCCTTTAGGCCTACAGCACTCACAAGGGGGCGTATTCGCCCACTTCGGGAAAGGCTGCATTAGACGGTAGTACTCGATAGTCAGATTGAGATTTACGTTACCGTACGTCAAAACAATTTTCGTGCTCACGATTATGAGTATAACTTTCGAGAACGTGAAGATTCGATTGCGAAACCAAACTATATAAGTAAATTCATTCGTGCCGATGAAATTAATTATTTTTACGGACGGTAGGGACGTTGTTTAAGTCCTACACATTTTAGCTGCTTTCAGACTACGCTCAGTGGGCAGTCATTAGTGCTGGCCCCTCTGTCCTTCGAGCGGGGTGACGTCCCACGAGCACTACTCACCGGCGGGGGCGGCGCGAAGCTGTTCCGGCGCAGCTGCGGGCGGCGCGCGGGCGCGTGCACGTGCAGCGCGGCGGGGCGGTGCGCGGCGCGCCGGTACCACGCCTCCCGCGGCCCGCGCGCCCACACGCTGCCCTCCACGGGCGCCGCGTGCTCGCTGGTCGCGTGGTGCACCTGCCATCGGGTCAGCCCGTTCTCTGACGGAAATATTAGAATACATTTCAAATATGGAGCGGTTCCTCCGACCGTGCCCTATTTTGTTACGCGGGGTCGGCTTTTCCTATCATTTGACGTCATTCATCTAGCTTCTGTATGTTATCTTCCGTAAGGCCTCTCCCCTGACGTCCTTACAGGGTTTTCGACTAAGTGAATTGTGGTCTTCCTCTATTTCTTTCTTTGTAGCCACGATGATCGTACCATCTCTGCCTACACTTTTTGAAGTGAAACTTCATTAGGCGCGTTGAGAGTAAAATTAAACTCGCGACAGATTCGTTACGGCTAGAGAGGAAATATACAATTTAGGAGGAGCGACAATGAGAAAATAGACAGAGCGTCTCGCGAACCACTCGACCGCGGAGAGAGGGAAAGGACAAAGCGAGCTAGGTCGTTTCTCTAACACACAGCATTCCTTATTACAAGAGAAATTTCGTTTAAGAAAAATGAAGAAAACCACAATACTATACACCGCAACAGAAGTTTCACTTCTTTCACATGCATTATTTTTATTTCACTTTATCAGCAATTTCCGCAACCTTGAAAGTATTTTATGTCATCTGTCTGCTAAAAATGGGTGCCACTTGGAGGTAATTCGAGTGTTGGAAAAAACAAAAGGGGGCCAAAGAGATATGTAAGGAATACCGTTCGAAGATTGAAAACATTTGTTTAGTTTCCGGCTAGAAATTCGTTTTATTCATTCATTCAATGTCATTTTGAACGATAATCGAACGCTCATCTGCTGCATAAGGCTCAAATAAAGTCGCTTGCCGGCTCACTCTTTGGCAACACTTCCCAGTACACAAAACTGTGGTAATACAAAAACTGTCAACATCGTCTTCACTTTCGACCGACTATAACAAAGAAGGAAGTTCTACGTTCGAATGTATGCCCTTTTTGGTCTGTTCACCGATATCGACATGTGATGAGACGAAATGAAAATGAGGTTGGTAACTAACTATGAAAGTAGAAGGATATAGAGGCAGAGGTACGCCTAAGAAGAAATGGATGGATTGTGTGAAAGACGATATATGTAAGAGGGAAGCGAAGAAATGGTATATGGTAGAAGAGTATGGAAGGAGAAAACATGTTGCGCCGACCCCAAGTGACTGGGAGAAGGACAGAAGAATGATGAGTGTCCCGTAATGGCATATGGTACAAATGCAATGCAATGCCAGGGACAGCGGCTTGACTCTGTCCCTGGCATTGCTGATATCCATGAGCGATGATAACCACTCCCCATCAGGTGGGCATATACTCGTCTGCCTACAAGGACAGTAAAAAAAGTAATATATTATTTAGTTGAAGTAGTACCACTCGCGAAGAAGGTGGTGATGGAGCCCAGCTCGCAGGTGGAGCAGTCCCGGGCCCGGTGCGGGTGCTCGTGCTCCCGGGCCCACTTGTCCGTGGCTATGGCGTCCTTGCACAGCCTCGCCATTAGACCTTCATCACCTAAGGGTAAGATAAAATTCTAATTTATTTTACACAGAAATACCAGCGCTCCTTTGACTCGGCGACATACGTTCCGGCTTAAAGGGTGGGGTAGCCTTCATATTAAAATATAACCTTAAAGTGTACCACTTAGGTTCTATAATGTAATGAATCTTGCAACTATTAGTGGTGCTAATGGTATTATTGAACGCTCTGTGCATTAAGTTTGACGGTTTTAGATTAAGCCAGAACTGGCATTGTAAATGACACTTTAAAGAACAAATTCAATTTCAAATCGCAAGTAAAAAAAATCGCAGGAGTCTTTTAAGATTGTTGTAGTGAAACGCAAATCTCGTTCAACAAGACTGAATATTTGTATTATATTTTTATATTACTTCTTATAATGTTTTTAAAATAATTTACGGATAACCAAAACGTTAGTATTTTGTATACAAATATTTTTTTATTGCTTAGATTAGTGGACGAGCTCACAGCCCACCAGGTGTTAAGTGGTTACTGGAGCCCATAGACATCTACAACGTAAATGCGCCACCCACCTTGAGATATAAGTTCTAATATAGATATAAGGTCTCAAGTATAGTTACAACGGCTGCCCCACCCTTCAAACCGAAACGCATTACTGCTTCACGGCAGAAATGGGCGGGGTGGTGGTACCTACCCGTGCCGGCTCACAAGAGGTCCTACCACCAGTAAATATGTATAGTAGTTGTATATATAACAGTAGGGTACTTCATACTGACATTGATATGTTTTTTCGAGTAACAAAGGTGGGATGGGTGAGAATATATGATTCAGCTTCTTCATCGCGAAGTTGGGCTCGTCGCTCCGCCGTCTGATGAAGTGGAGCACCTCGGCCTCGCGGGAGTCGAAGTGGGGCTCCACGTGCCGGCAGTACAGCCTGCCAGCGGAACAAAGTTATCGAATAGCTTCAAGCCTTTATTCAACAACACAACTGACCCAGCTGAAGTAACTAAGCAGTTACTAAAACCCATCGACTGATATCATGAAGATATAACTGTATCTAGTCCACAACTCAGTCGTATTCATTATTTATTGTTCTTTATGAGTGTCGGCTCACTGTCGACTGTTAAGTCGCTGCAGGACGCCGTAGATATCACAACCCAAATCCCATCCACCTTGGGACATGCATGTGTATAAGTCTTAAGAACTATGAAGGAAGTGATAGTGGTAGAATTATTTGAATGCCGCCAATAGATTGTTGTAAAATTTAGTGTAAGTTGTAAAATTAAATTGTGCTATTGATGCGTGTTCCCAAAATATATATATACGAGTTTAGGGGATATGATAGGTACTTTGCCGGTCAACGTTCTCCACGAACCCCTCGCTTGTTGATACTTCTCTTTAACCATGGGATACAAGGCCTTATCCGGGTTATACTTGCTGGAAAATCCTTCAAACCTTAATCAAGTAGTTATCAATTAAAAATAACACATTTCCAATATCTCAAGATATAAAAAAAAAAAAACTTTAGAGGTGTCAAGGGACACCCGGATGGAACGAAGTTCCTTTCGATTAATTAGTGAAGGAATTGTAATTTTTTTTTAAGTTATAATAATAAATTACGGCATTATGAAGAAAAAAAAACACTATGAACTAAATTACTATTGTTGAAACGCTATCTCGAGAAACTGTACTCATTACGCGGACCAATCGGATACGAGCAATGTCACGCGATAAGCGCCTACACGTTGATTGGTCAGAATGACGGATCTAAAAAGTGTCGTGACAACTTTTCGTAAGAATTTTTTCCATCTAGCCCCCTTTCACAACACGCGATAAGGAACTTCGTTCCAAAAATGCACGTGATCATTGAAATGGTCTCTTAATGATTGATTTAATTCGCGATACAATGTTAATACGGTAAATGTCGTTGAATATTGTCATGATTTGACCTAACGAAGCCCCACCAGTCTGGCTGCACGGCGAAGTCGGTTCGGGACAGCGACTTCAACGCGGCTTCAGCGAGCTTCATGGTGAACTGGGACTCGGATCCGGCCCAGTGCGCGTCGGGGGTCGGTAGCGCGACGACCACGGTGTAGTGGTCCAGGACCCTTCTCCAAAAGTATTGCCGATTTTCCAGCGTCGCCCTCATTCCGTCTTCGTAAATGTTTTTCGCGTACATGGTCATGTTGCCAGTTTCTTTATCGATTATCAGATTTCGTCGAAACTGCAAATATAGATACACAAACACAAACGCTTAATCGCTTTTATTAGTCGCAGATAAAAATAATAGGATTGGTTAAGATTGGTTTTTCGTTATATCAGTGATATCGGTTTACCTTGAGCCAATCTGGCAAGTATTGTCTGGGGAGGTGGCTGACTGCCGGCTGTTCCAAGTCGAGGAAGTCAACGGTCCTGTATCCAGGCCTCAAGACGTCTCCGTCGAACTAAACAAATTGAATTGTCTTGAATTTTCGCGGCGACAATAGTGCTTATAATTAATTAATGCTTAATTAAATAATTAATTATATTTATAATTATTAAATAATTAATTAATTTAATTAAATAATTAATTAATGCTTATAATTATGCACTATTGTCTTACGAGTTCTTACCACGATTTTCACGTTTTACGAGTTCGGAATATTTCGGCCATGTTGCAAGCGCCATAATCGCCGTGATAGTCTGAAGACTGCGGGTAGGATGTTAGGAGTAAACAAATCTGTCTACCCTCTTTCTAGTCCGTTGTTGGGCGTTGTCAGTGGAACTTGATGAGGCACCCCGACAATACCTGCCCTTCTTCCAGTCGCCTGGGGTCGGCGCAACATGTTTTCCCCTTCCAAACTCCCCTATCATATACTATTTCTTCGTTCACTCCCCTCTTACACATATCGTCATTCACGCAATCCATCCATTTTTTCTTAGGTCTACCTCTTCCTCTAAATCTTCTACATTCATAGTTAAAACTCTCATAACAACCTCATTGTCAACCTCATATATTCAGTACATATATTTATTCAGTCTACCCGCGCCATGGCGTTGTTAGTACATGCACATGAATTGTGAAAATATTGGTAAGGAGCCGTTAAATAATAATGTTTATACCAGTGTTATGAATATGTTGTTTTGCTATTTAATAAAAACGTTACTCAGACTTATTACAGTACTACGTGAACTACTACTGATGGTAGGACCTCTTGTGAGTCCGCACGGGTGGGTACCACCACCCCGCCTATTCCTGCCGTGAAGCAGTGATGCGTTTCGGTTTGAAGGGTGGGGCAGCCGTTATAACTATACTGAGACTTTAGAACTTATATAGGCACGAAGAATCTGATTCAAAAAATTCACACCTTTAGAAGTAAATAACATAACGAAGGAAATAATTGAACATATAGAATTAACGTAAAAATTGGGGTCTCGGCGATTATGGTCGAATTTAGATTACTAGTTAACTGAATTTATCATAAAATTGAGTACGAAATATTTTTGGATATCATTTAAGCTGTTTTTATGTTTTTTAAGCGCCTATTTATGTATTTTTCGGGTTAATTAACAGCGGCACCTAACATAATTTTATATCTGCTATCCCTTTGTTAATCAATAATGATACTTCACGTGCTTACTGTAGGTTTCAAATTGTCGTGCAAGACAACGTTTCCACGATGATCCACCAGTATGATTGAGCCGCCCGCACCTAGCTGAAAAAAATATAAATTGTTAATTACTTTTAGCTTCTGTTTGATGGTATCAGATATCGTTTCATGATATCTAATAGGTTTGTAATAAGATAATAATATTTATAATAGAAGATAGACGACGTTTGTACTAAACGTTTATTCATGGCTAGAGAAATTACACTGGTTGTAGTCNTTACTTTTAGCTTCTGTTTGATGGTATCAGATATCGTTTCATGATATCTAATAGGTTTGTAATAAGATAATAATATTTATAATAGAAGATAGACGACGTTTGTACTAAACGTTTATTCATGGCTAGAGAAATTACACTGGTTGTAGTCGTGATTTGTACATTAATAAAACATATGAGTGGAATAGTACTAAAATATTTTGTACTAAATCGGACACCTAGAGGTAGACCCAAGACAAGGTGGAAGGACATTGTGCTGAAGGAGAAAAGGGAATGCAATGTTGCCGACGAGCATGTCGAAGACAGCGAGCGAGGTGGAGGAGTAAAGTAAGGAAAGCTATCCCCACCGCCATGTGGGATAAATAGCTGGGAAGAGAGAGAAAGGGAGAGGGTATTAAAATATTTAATGACTACTTTGCCTTGATTCTTTTTTTCTAGGTCTGTCATTCCTTGAAAGAGAAAAAGACATAGTGTTCTTTTATGTCGCCGCCGTCGCTCAAAACATGTCTTGTCGGATCCCCCGGATTCACTCTCGGTGCTTTTAGGCCTCCCAAGCACACCGGTCACCGTCCTCGTCGAACTCGTCGATGGCAACACAGCCCACTGAGTTTCTTGCCGGATCTTCTCAGTGGGTCGCAATTTCGATCCGGTAGTAGATTCTGCGAAGCACTGCTCTTGCTAGTGTTAACAAATTCTCTCAGGTTGAGCCCGTGAGCTCACCTACCCGTAGCTGGAATAGCCTTTTAGGCTACCAGCGTTAGATAGAGAAAAAATGTAGGTATTCGCAAAGGAATAGAGATTAACAGATTAGGATCGGCCCGACCTATGTGCTAAAGAACAACTTGCTTATGTGTCGAGCGCAGGATTGAGAAAACGCAAATCGTGTGTCATGATGCGCCAGTTAATCTAATGTTTCCGGGTCGCAATCATTACCTACTTGTGTTCGGGTATAGATCTACTTGTATACCCAGACCGATAAACCAAGAAAAATTTCTCCTTCGGGGATTAATGTGAGGATTTTTTTTAAAGACTTTTGAATATTTCTCAAGTTCTCTTTCGCTTCGCTTCGGGACAAATTCGCTAATATGAAAAAAATAAGGAAGAAAAAGGAATGAGTTTACCTGATGATACGGCAGAATCAACTTCAAATGGTCGATGGGAATGTCGACCCCTGCTACTCCTAGAAGACGGTTTACTGGATACTGGAACCGAATAGATTGTATGTACTGATTTATTTGGACTGATATCAGCTGCTTTTATTTGACGCTGTACTGGACTCTACAAACACCATAACCTAACTACACAGATTGTTGGGAACATCTAGTTCCAGTCAGCGGTGGTAGGTCCTCTTGTGAGTCCGCACAGATAGGTACCACCATCCTGCCTATTTCTGCCGTGAAGCAGTAGTGCGTTTCGGTTTGAAGGGTGGGTCAACCGTTGTAACTATACTGAGACCTTAGAACTTATATCTCAAGGTGGCTGGCGCATTTACATTGTAGATGTCTATGGGCTCCGGTAACGACTTAACACCAGGTGGGCCGTGAGCTCGTCCACCCTTCTAAGCAATAAGAAAAGTCAGGAACTTGGAGCTGTCGAATGTGTAATGTTTTATTTATAGCCTATTTACCCCTTGATATTAAGTGAAACTTGATTGGTTTTCCTCCTCCAGACCCCCGCCAGTCCCCCATCGTCAATAAGTAAAGTACAAAGTTGATTTACCTGTCTCGTAGAGTTCCGTTGTCTCTCCTGCAATACAAATTGTAATAGTTTGAGTGTTTCTTGTCCATGACAAGGACGCCAAATAGTTACAAAAATATATATTTTTTGTTTTCTTTCCCTTCAATAAATCTTTCACTCCTCAAAAGTAGGTATTAAGAAAAGAAGTGGTCCACAAATTCCACGTTAATTTTGTTCTTAATTATATACTTAAAAATATTTATTTGTGTTTTCTCTTACCTCCATCAATTGGATCGTAATATTCTGTAAACAAAAAGTACAACTTTTCAATGACAATTTTGACATTCAAATTCTTCTGGAAGGTTCCGCGGTTGTGTTTCGTTTCCATAAAACTATCTATAACTTACCTCTGCCGTAGTAGCATCAAAAACGGGCATAGAAACGCTTATTTCCAAACGATAGTTCAATTCTTCTCCTTCATAATACTGCCCGTATTCGTTCTGCACAACATGAATGTTTTATAATAATTGTAAAAACCTAATTGTAAAAAGTACCTTATATATAAGGGCATATGCTTGTTGGTTGGATTCATGAATCTCAGCAGTTCCATTTTTCATTAGACGTCCATGGACGTGAGCAATGCCAAGGGCAGAGCCAAGCCGCTGCCTACTGTTTGTTCCATGGACACACTGCTTGTATATTTGTCGTAGGAACCTTAAATCAGGCTTTGGAACGAAGTTCCTTATGGGACCATGCGGAGGGGTACCCAAACCGGGAAAAGACGTCCGTAACGTAAGATTTTTGTTATTTATGTATAGTCTTAGACTGATGGCTATACAGTGTCTAATGTATAGTCTACGTGATGACGGTTATTTTTATTATTCATATAAATAGCTGTTTCTTTGTAAATTGTTATATCATATATTGTGTATAAATCATTGTGAATAAAATAAAGTTGATAACTTTGTAGTTTTTTTTTTTAATTTTAATCAATAAATAAATTATAATGAAAAATGTATACCCGAATAATTATTTTCTTTATACCTCGAATAGAACTTAAAATTAATATTTTTATAATAAGGAACTTTGTTCCTATCCGGTGTCCCACGACACTACACATCTTTTTGTCCAATGCAACTAATGTACGTAGAGCAGGTGAAGTGCGAGTATTTTAACGAATAGATAATGTACATATTTCTAAATATATAAGTTGTAAGAAGATACGTTCTAGAAAATAAAGACAAGGGGTAGTACCGTTTTTTCTGACACGGGAACATATTTTTCATTTAGTATCCTTTGGGCGGCACACAATCGTCCGAGTGGTCTAATTATTATTTTTAACGAGATAATTTATGGGTCATTTTTGAGTATATTTTAAGTTAATCGGTGCCCTTTTAGTACTTTGGTGTTAAGTTATTTTATTGCTTTTTACGTGACATTTGCGCTAATACTCGTAGTCTCTGAATGGGCTGTTTTCCATTCTGTTTTCATCTGATTTGTTTATAAAGATTTTATTTTGGAAAACTCACGAGTTTCCATTGGTGCATCCAATCCTCATTCATTCGCTTCGGGTCGAGGAGTTTGCGTTTGTCCTTCCTCAGCTCTTTGTAACGATAGAGTTGTTCCGCGTTCTCCTTCTGCGTCCAGTGGTACTCGCTGCGTCTCGGGTCCTAGGGAAGGGAGACCGGGCGGTGCTAATTCATTAATTACTTCACTATTATTTATTGAATTGAAAAAGTCTGCCGTGAAGCAGTGATGCTTTTTTAACTAGATGAAACGAAAGAGCGACATTATGTTATTTTCTACTTTCTCGCAGAGACGAACTAAAAAGTGATAAACGAAAACCTATCAAAACAAGTCTGCGAAAGAATTATATTGGCTATTTCTAATGTTTCAAGTCATTTTTTTTTGCATATTCTAGTAACTACTAGGGGTCATCATACTAGGTTCACAAAACAAGTAGGCGAGCTCACGGGGCTCAAACTTGACGATGTTGCTAACACGAACCCTAGCAAGAGCAGTGCTTCGCAGAATCTACCACCGGATCGGAAACGCGACCCGCTGAGAAGATCCTGCGAGAAGCTTAGTGGGCTAAGTCTAATGCACGTGAACTGCATATATACTTAGTCAGGTCATAAATTCTGTCACATGTTTAATGTAAAATAATTAAAACAAGTTTATTCATTATGTAACCATTCATATACCAAAATGAACTTAACAAAACATAGATTCTTATGACACTAAAGTTTATTCAAAATGACCTCCGTGATTTTGAATACAGGCATTCAATCTGCGCGACCAGTCGTCTATCGCAGCACGAACGAGGTCCATGTCAATATCGGCGGCTGCCTTAATCAAGGATGTCTTGAGTGACTCCAAATTGGGATGAGGCTTTGAGCACGCCTTTTCCTCCAAGTGTTGCCATATCTTGTAATCTAACGGATTCAAATCTGGACTGGAGGAGGGCCAGTCTTCGTGCCGAATGAAGTCGATTTCACGCGNAAGCAGTAATGCGTTTCGGGTTGAAGGGGGGGGCAGCCGTTGTGACTATACTGAGACCTTAGAACTATATCTCAAGGTGTGTGGCGCATTTACGTTGTAGATGTCTATGGGCTCCAGTAACCACTTAACACCAGGTGGGCTGTGAGCTCGTCCACACATCTAAGGAATAAAAAAAAAAAAAAAAAAAATTATTATTTTTAACCAGATAATTTAAAGGTCATTTTTGAGTATATTTTAAGTTAATCGGTGCCCTTTTAGTACTTTGGTGTTAGGTTATTGTATTGCTTTTTACGTGACACCTGCGCTAATACTCGTAGTCTCTGAATGGGCTGTTTTCCATTCTGTTTTCATCTAATTTGTTTATAAAGATTTTATTTTGGAAAACTCACGAGTTTCCATTGGTGCATCCAATCTTCATACATTCGCTTCGGGTCGAGGAGTTTGCGTTTGTCCTTCCTCAGCTCCTTGTAACGATAGAGTTGTTCCGCGTTCTCCTTCTGCGTCCAGTGGTACTCGCTGCGTCTCGGGTCCTAGGGAGAGGGAGACCGGGCGGTGCTAATTCATTAATCACTTCACTATTATTTATTGAATTGAAAAAGTCTGCCGTGAAGCAGTGATGCTTTTTTAACTAGATGAAACGAAAGAGCGACATTATGTTATTTTCTACTTTCTCGCAGAGACGAACTAAAAAGTGATAAACGAAAACCTATTAAAACAATTCTGCGAAAGAATTATATTGGCAATTTCTAATGTTTCAAGTCAATTTTTTTTGCATATTCTAGTGACTACTAGAGGTCATCATACTAGGTTCACAAAACAAGTAGGCGAGCTCACGGGGCTTAAACTTGACGATGTTGCTAACACGAACCCTAGCAAGAGCAGTGCTTCGCAGAATCTACCACCGGATCGGAAACGCGACCCACTGAGAAGATCCGGAGAGAAGCTTAGTGGGCTAAGTCTAATGCACGTGAACTGCATATATATATATTTTTTTGCAACATAACATTTTTATTTCGATGTCAGTATAAACGAGTATGATAAATGGTTGAAGTAAGGGCACGACCTCAATGTGAGCGTATATGTCGCTGAAGACCCGCAGCCTGTGGTCCCGCTGCGCGACGAGCGGGCGCTCCAGCACGCGCAGCACGCTCATGACCTGCTCCGTGACGTCAGCGTGCGTGATGAGCTCGGCGAAGTAGCCGTCGCGCGCGCAGCTCAGCCACTCCGCCAGCCGCCGCGTGTCGTCGCGCAGCCCGTACCGGTCGTGCAGCCAGAACACGAACAGTCTGCCCGGGACCAAGCACTTCAACCTTACTAAAACATTTCGACGCTTGAAAGGCAAACGTCACTAAGCGACAATAACTGCTTTGTACATAAATGATAGGCAATAACCATATTCGATGCGCAAAAAAAAAATATATATATATCTGGGTCTATTAAAATCATTTCAATCTTACAGCTAGATTCGTTAAAATATAATTTTTTTCAGGTATTTCAAATTTAAATTAGTCTACTGTAAAGTTCACGCATTGTCCGTGAAGCAGTAATGCGTTTCGGTTTGAAGGGTGGGGCAGCCGTTGTAACTATACTAAGATCTTAGAACTTATATCTCAAGGTGGGTGGCGCATTTACATTGTAGATGTCTATGGGGTCCAGTAACCACTTAACACCAGGTGGGCTGTGAGCTCGTCCACCCATTTAAGCAATAAAAAAAAAACTCCTCCTTGCATCGTGTTTCTCAGTGCTGAGGGTCGTGACCTTTACGGAGCACTTCTATTTGGACTATGTTTCTCCATTCCTTCTTGTTCTTTGCGTAGTGAATAGAGATATTGGCTCCGGGCGTAGCTTAAATAGCCTCTTAGGCTATCAGCGAATAGGTGGGGGAAAAAGACATTGGTGCTGGAGTCCAATTTCGTCTTAAAATGATCGGACCAGCGCATGGGACTACGCCCCTTAGGCCTCTTTCCTTCTTTTTACAATTTAACTAATTTTAATTTCTTTTACAATTGTGGCACGAACGCTTTGTGGATTGTAAAATTTTAGACTCTTTAAATAAATATTTAGAAAATTTTGTTCTCTGTTCATTAACCTGAACCCGATCGTATACCTGTTGGTCTGGTATTTTTTATCTACCTGATATTATTCCCGGGGTCCAAATGCCTCACGAGGTCCGTGTAATTGTCGTACATGCTGTCCGTGAGCAGCACTATAGCTTGCTGACACGACTTCGGTCGGTCTCTAATCAAGCGCTGTTTCCGTAGCAGTTTTATCGCGTACTTTAGCGCGTAGTCCACTTTCGTCTCGTTTACTTTCGTGTATTCCCTTAGCTCTTCCATCATCGCGGCAGAATTCACGTGATTTGCCTAAAAATTCAAATTGGATTTGATTTTTTTAAGCATATTGCATGTACGAGTCTGGTGTATTTTTCAAGCTTCGTAATTATTTAAATCGAATAAAATGTTTTGATTAGTAAATTTCAATGATCTTCCTCTATGAAGTTCCTCAATTTAAATAACACTACAAATACCATTATCATAAATTATATTTTCAAAGTTTCATTTTTTAGCTTCTCAATAACCAAAAGTCGTTTGGTATAAAAACGAACAGCTTATAAGCAGAGTCTCACCGGAACCATTTTCTGATTGAAGCACTGGATAAGCGAATTAACTTTCTCATTGAAGTATAAGACGTTCACTTGATCGTCGTCGGTGAGAGCGCTGAGCAGAGCCAAAGTGAACTCCTCAGCGATGACCTGGTTCGAGGAGCCGTTCATGGAGCCCGAGGCGTCCAGCAACACGAGCACGTCGCGGGGCGCTCCGCCAGCGCTCACGTACCACGACCGCAGCCGACAGTCGTACACGTCGTCCGTATTCAACTTGAGCTGGTGCATGTCGTCCCATAAAGCAGCTACCGACAAAAACATTTTTTTTCCTAGCTATGCTGACCGCCTTGAGAGGCTAAATCAGCATTAGTGTAGTAGTGTAGATAATATGCAATGTGCGATGTCGGGCGACGCTCCTGCGAGGGCAGTCGTTCGCCTACCGCCAGCTAAGCAAGGTGTGCAATAAATGCCTAATATATCATCAGTATTTTACTGAAGAACCCAACCAAATGTTACTAAACCCTAGTATGTAGGTGAGCTTTTGGAGCTCAAACTGAAGCTGTTGCTAACACTGTCTCTAGCAAGAGAAGTGCTTCGCAGAATCTACCACCGGATCGGAAACACGACCCATTGAGAAGAGCCGGCGAGAAACTCAGTGGGCTGTGTCTATGGGTTAATTTACTCGTCGAGCCCTTCGTCACAAGCGACGGGTTCGGCGAGGTCGGTGACCGGTGCTTGTGGTACCTAAAAGCACTGTTAATAGATCGGGAGGATCCGTAATGACGTCTACTGCTTACCATTCGGTTCACAGGATCGGGTATGAAACATTTATAAAACCCAATAGTCACCCAAAAGGCCCATAAAAACCAAATGTCTGGAGAGTTACAATGCGCTCTCCGTCAATTATATGTAATTATAAAATGTTTTATATATTTTTATGATTCATTCATTTTTATGGCATATTCTCAAACATTTATCCCAATGCGATTCATAGATAACAAACGGTTCAAGACGGCCCACACTAGACATTATGAAACGCGTTTTAATGAGTAGTGGAGTAATTGGAAATTATTGTAGGAACTATAAGATTTTCGAAAACAAATCCTACGTTCCTGTATTAACATTGATTTTAATAATCTTTATATATAAAAATGAATTGCTGTTCGTTAGTCTCGTTAAAGCTCGAGAACGGCTGGACCGGCTAATTGGCTAATTTTGGTCTTGAATTATTTGTGGAAGTCCAGAGAAGGTTTAAAAGGTAGATAAACATGAAAATGCTCGGAATTAAATAAAAATAACAATTTTGTGTTTTACTTTGATGTGTCCCCCGTCGGACGGATTCCATTTGTTTGTGTTAAGTTTATTTTATACAAACGTTTAGGTCTTTTATTTATCGATTGAGGCACTACGAAGTCTGCCGGGTCAGCTAGTAAAGCAATACTTACATATTTTTATTACATAACTCACCTGGGTAGTGTCGTAAGAATCCTTTAGCACTACAGAAATACTGAAAGTCCGTGGTCGCGTCCTGCGCGTAATTCTTTTTGAATGTCGACAATAACCCTTCCGTCCAATATATATGTTTCATAACCTTAGGATCTAAAATATATTTTTTTAAACTTAAAAGAACTTTTTTTTAATCTAAAATTCTGAATTAGATAAATGTTCGTATTAATTAAGTAACTTTTTATAGTACTATTGATTACTTTATGTGCCCGCCTGATTTGGTGCGTAGCTTTTTTTTTCCTACCTAAGCTGATAGTCTTCCTTAACTAGTCGCCTTTAGGTGAGCTCACGGGGCTCAAATCTGATGACGTTGCTAACACGAACTCTAGCAAGAGCCGTGCTTCGCAGAATCTACCACCGGATCGGAAACGCGACCCATTGAGAAGATCCGGCGAGAAACTCAGTGGGCTGTGTCTGAGGGTTAATGGACTCGTCGAGCCCTTCGTGGCAAGCGACGGGTTCGATGAGAACGATGATCGGTTGGGTAGCAGTAATGCGTTCAGGTTCACAAAGCTAGACAGCTCATAGTGGGTTTGCAGTATTTACTATATCAAGCCTAGGGACCCCGGTAGCCACCAGGAGAGCATAAGCTTATTAAATAAATAAAAAATCCTATCTTGACGAATTTCTTCTCGTGTTGTTTGCTATCGCTTTATGCGTTATGCGTTAAAAGAAAGTATTCATTAGAAAATTCTTGTTATATAACTATGTTATGTGTATATAAATATTTTTCTTTGAAAGGTAGGCTATATTATTTCCCAGACTTCATTCCTCGTACCGAATTCCGTCAGAATCAGTTCAGTGATAAGTCCGTGATAACGTAAAAATCAATGTAGAATTGAGATCGCGCAGCACAAAATAAAACTGATCCACTATTGTAGTTTTATTTTTATTATCCGAAAGTCTTCCCTATAATAATAACTAAAGATTGATTGACACTTTTTTACACACCGCTCCATCGATGACTACATTAATATAATATTACGAATATAGGTAGCCACATTAGTATTACTAGTGGTAGGACCACTTGTGAGTCCGCGCGGGTAGGTACCACCACCCCGCCTATTTCTGCCGTGAAACAGTAATGCGTTTCGGTCTGAAGGGTAGGGCAGTCGTTGTAACTATACTGAGATCTTAGAACTTATATCTCAAGGTGGGTGGCGCACTTACGTTGTACATATCTATGGGCTCCAGTAACCACTTAACTGAAGGGCTGTGAGCTCGTCCACCCATCTAAGCAATTAAAAAAAAAAAAAAAAAACTATGGATTAGAAAATGAAGAGGTATTACCGCATTCAAAAACTTCAAGCGAAACGTAAACGCTGGACGTCTGGAGTGATACTTTGCCATCGAAATGATTACTCTCGTTCAAGGGTACCTTTTGTAAATTAGTACAGTTCTGTGGCATGAACCAGCCTTTCTGATTGGGTATCTTCTTCTCCTTAATTTTATCTAAATCCTTTTAAGAGAAACCGTTCAACCATATACATTTTAATCAAGAAATTGAAAAAATTCAGTATTTTGTACAATGTCAACGATTCAGCGTTCAAATTGAATTATTAAATATTCTTAATAATGAGAACTAATTTCTACTATGGAAGCTTCGTAAGAAAGTCGTAGTAAAACCTGATTCTTTTTTTTAGCAGCTACGTACACACATAATATAAACCTACGTATATATAACTACATTTATATATGTAAAGAAAAGTAGTAGTTGTTAGTATTTAAAGCCTTCAAAACTCTTTAGTTTAAAAAAAAAGATTTTTCATAGGCGGAATCATTGACCTGTCTGTCATTCAGTAAAGAAAGTAGGTAGGTGAGTTTTGCATTATATAATAATACTGTTTAAATTATTAATTTAAAATGAGATTAAGAGCTATGTTGTTTTATAATGATATAGAATACTTTAGAATGAATCTATACTAATATATAAATCTACAGTGGTTTTTACGGATGTTACGTTACAACTACTGAACCATGCATCTGATTGACTTGAAACTTTGTACTTAATGGATAGGTTCATCGATATATTACCACATCGATGGATAGGCTAGTGCGATAACGTCATTTATGTAAATTATGTAATTTTTCAGGAGAAACATTGGAAAATTCAACATCTTATTAAATATATAGTTCTGCTAGACTAAAGAAATAAAAACGATAATATTTAAACTAAAATTTTAAACTTCATCAGTAAGAGCTAACATCTCACTGATATAACTATTAAAAAATGTATTTTCTCATACTCAGTTCAATTTATAGCACCGTAATGCGATATATGTATGTACATATGTGTATATATAAACTCACCACGCTATGGTCAAAAACGTAATTGTCAGGCGGAGGTGTTTCGTCCTTATCTAATTCTTCAGCTTTGCGCATTATATTTTCGGCGGCTTTGACTCTTCTTGTTAACAAGTCTTCTAAGGCGTCTGCAGCCTTGTTCACGAGGGCGGTTCCGTTGCGAGCTACCATCATAGCATCGCTAAATGCGCTCAATAGTTCCTCTCGCTTAACAAGCTTGCTTTCGATCTCGAAGAATACTTCGGAGAGCCTTTGCGCCCAATTTTCGATCCTTCAAATACGGAATGAAAATATTTAAATTAATTCGGTGATTAAGCATGACTGAAATATCGATGCCTCCAATGAACACTACGCTAACTCCAAATTCGTAGATTTACAGGAGGAGCGTTTAAACGAAAAAAGTTGAGGAAATCTTTATTATTGCAGATATATTTATATTTTTTTTGTGTAACTAGCTGATTTACTTTTGCTTCGAACCCCATCAATAATGATTAATTGTAATACTTTTAAAATAGTGAAGCGATTTGCGTGAAAAACGAAAATTTCAAAATTTTGAGTTAGAGTAGTGTTCATTGGAGGCATCGATATATTCGTATCGTCATCAACATGGTTTTGAATTTGTCTTTTTAAATAAACTAAAGCGTGATTTTAAAGTATTAAATTCTATGTAACATGGTGAAGCATTGTTCTAATTGAATTAATATGTATCAGGTACTTAATGTACTTACGATTTCGTTGAAATCATTCTTAGAATCTTTTTTTCTTTCTTGACGAAAGGCTTAATTTTCGCTTGAGTTACATTAGTAATTTTTATCGGGTTAACTCCAGTTTTGTGCTTGAGCACTTCGGATAGAGCATCCTCGTGTTTCTCGAGACTATTTTTCACTTCGGCAACAGTTCTATTTTGAAGTACATTTTTATGTTTTACAGATTCAGTTGATCGAATGAATATAGTTGTTAGTAAAATCGATACGATTAGCTTAATTTTCATGTTGATACTTTTTTGAATTCGTCAATGTTTTCTCGCGCGTAACATTGCAATGTTTTGAAAATTCGCGTGGTTTAGGGCGGGCGGTCTGTGGACAACTGCAGCCTCCTGGGCGCCCCTGTCTGGCGCCCAACGGCTCCCGACATCCTGGCGCCTTGAACCAATTTCCCGCCGACCCCTCTGCCAAAATAACAAAATCGTAGTGACGTCTGTATGTCCTATTTATTTTTGGTACGCATTAACTTAAATATGTTAGTAATAAAAGCTCTCATTTTTTTAATTTTTTTTTATTGCTTAGGTGGGAGGACGAGGTCACGGCCCACCTGACATTAAGTGGTTACCGGAGCCCATAGACATCTACAACGTAAATGCCACCAGCCACCTCGAGATATGAGTTCTAAGGTCTCAGTATAGTTACAACGGCTGCCCGACCCTTCAAACCGAAACGCATTACTGCTTCTCGGCAGAAATTCACAAGAGGTTCTACCACTAGTAATGACGCAAATTATAATTTTGCGGGTTTGATTTTTATTACATGATGTTATTATTCCTTCATCGTTGAAGTCAATCGTGAACATTAAGTATCTACGTATTTATTTCAATAGAAAAATTGTTACCCGCCAGCGGGATTCGTACACCCATGCATCGTAAGATACGAATGCACCGAACGTCTTATCATTTAGGCCACGACGACTTTAAATCATGTCATCATCATCAGCCTACAGTAGTCCACTGCTAGACATAGGCTTCTCCAACTGCTCGCCAGTGAGCACGAACCTTGGCTTCTCTCATCCAGCTTCTGCCTGCCACCCTGCACAGATCATCACTCCACCGAGCCTAAGGGCGTTCTGCACTTTGTTTGCCTATTCGCGGTGTCCACTCAAGTACGCGTTCCAACGGTTATCGATTGTCCGGCTAATATGCCCAGCCCATTGTCACTTCAGCTAATCTGCTGTGCTATGCTTTTTTATTTTATTTTTTATTGCTTAGATAGGNTCTCATCCAGCTTCTGCCTGCCACCCTGCACAGATCATCACTCCACCGAGCCTAAGGGCGTTCTGCACTTTGTTTGCCTATTCGCGGTGTCCACTCAAGTACGCGTTCCAACGGTTATCGATTGTCCGGCTAATATGCCCAGCCCATTGTCACTTCAGCTAATCTGCTGTGCTATGCTTTTTTATTTTATTTTTTATTGCTTAGATAGGTGGACGAGCTCACAGCTCACCCGGTGTTAAGTGGTTACTGGAGCCCATAGACATCTACAATGTAAATGCCGCCACCCACCTTGAGATATGAGTGCCTCATCCTTCAAACCGAAACGCATTACTGCTTCTCGGCAGAAGTAGGCAGAGTGATGGTATCTACCCGTGCGAACTCACAAGAGGTCCTACCACCAGTATGTCGTTAACTTTGATTCTCTGTTGGATCATCTCGTTCCGGATTCGATCCTTCAGTGAAACTACAAGCATAGCCCTCTCCATAGCTCGCTGAGTGACTTTAAACTTGTGGGCCAGCCCAACCGTGAGTGTTCACGTTTGGGCTCCATATGCCATGACAGGCAGGACGCGCTGATTGAAGACTCTCTTTAGAATCTGTGGAATAGACGACGAAAATACTCGACGTAATTTCCCAAACGCTCTTATGTACCGAAGCGTAAAATTTTTAATTCATTTATCACGACTTATTTTCTTTCTATGTATAGATTGTAGATCATCGTAATGAAATCTAATCCATTACAAATTGTATTGATCATGGAAATATAAGAATTACATTATGTTTAAAAGCAATTAAAATCACAACTTTTAGCAATTATTGTATTGCAATTTATCAGTACATTATTTGATAAGAGAATCGCATGTCAGCGCCGATAAAGAGAAAAATAATTAGTGCGGTCCCACTCATCTCTTAGATTAAGAAACTTTATTCGATTATTTACTGCGAGTATAAATAACTTCTATTGCTGAACGATTTCATGTCATTTAATTTTTGATTTCGACAATGAGAGGTAATGTTTGGTTTGTTTAACTATTTTAAATTTCAGGTATCATCAGGCAAACGAATATAATATAGTGAATGTGATGTGATTGGTGAAGTGAATTTACTGGTGGTAGGACCTCTTGTGAGTCTGCGCGGGTAGGTACCACCACCCTGCCTATTTCTGCCGTGAAGCAGTAATGCATTTCGGTTTGAAGGGTGGGGCAGCCGTTGTTACTATACTTGAGACGTTAGAACTTATATCTCGAGGTGGGTAGAGCATTTACGTTGTAGATGTCTATGGGTTCCAGTAACCACTTAACACCAGGTGGGCTGTGAGCTCGTCCACCCATAGAAGCAATAAAAAAAAAGAAAATATTGTGTTCGTAAAACTAAAGATTCACAAGGCAATATTTTTAAAGAAATTATTTCGTTCCAGGATTAACATTGATATTGGCAGCAGTTGCTTTGGCCCGGGCCGAAAACCTGTGTCCCCCTGAACAAGCTGAGAACTGGGAAATAGAATTACTTTTGCCTCACCCGCAATGCAACAAATTTTACAAATGCACCTTCGGCCAACCGGTCGAGATGGTGTGCTACGGGAATTTGTACTTCAATCTTAAAACTTGGCAGTGCGACTGGCCTGAAAACGTCGATTGTGGTGACAGGGTAGACCCTGCTCATACGACCACAGCGTCACCTATACCTACAACTCTTGTTCCTGAAACGACGACAGAACGCGAAACTGAAGCTCCCACAACAACTCCAATACCAACAACTACTGAGACAACTAAAGCTGAAGTTACGACAACCACAACACAAGCTCCTACAACTACTACTTTAGCTCCTACAACTACAACTGAAGTTCCGACGACCACAACACAAGCTCCTACAACTACTACTTTAGCTCCTACAACTACAACTGAAGTTCCGACGACAACAACACAAGCTCCTACAACTACCCAGGAACCGGTAACTGAGCCTCCAACTGCGACGGCTGCGCCAACGGTAGCTCCCACGCCGGAACCTGAACCAGAAAAACCCGAAATTGATTTTCTTGAAAATGGTTGCCCAGTTAACCCTCATATTCACTGGCTACTGCCCCATGAAGAAGACTGCAATCTATTCTATTATTGTGTTTGGGGAAGAAAAGTCTTGAGACAATGCGCTAGCACATTACACTTCAACAAAGTCATCCAGGTAAATACAAGCTTGTAAAAATCTTATTAGTTAACTTACTAAAAATTCTCGGAGTCAAATTAATTACATTTTGGTACAACACGCAAAGAAAAGATTTTTCGTTATACAAAATATTAATTAAAAGTAAAGAATGTATATTGTTATAGAACAGTTAGAGAAAATTTTACGAGAAACAGGGGCGATATTGTTTAAATTTATTTCATTATGGTTCGAACTGCTGTGTCTTAACTTTAATATTTTATTAATAGGTTTGCGACTGGCCTTGGGACGCAGGCTGTGCATCATCTTTCGACAAAAACGCCGTGGCCAGGAGAATGATTAGTGAAGTCGAAGTATCCGTCAATCTGTAAACGAAGAATGCTCCCGCAAGACGACAATCTTGATATTCGACGAACGTTGATTCCCTTTTATTAAATGCACCAAACAATGTTTTGGTTTATTTATTGCACATGTTCCTATTAGATGATTTTATTATATAGTTTTAAGAAATTAAACTGAGATATTTGTAAATAAAAACAGTACATAAACTATGCCAGTTTTTATTTCTCACTTTTATTATTTGAATACGTTTTCAAGTTATGAAATGAATATAATATACGCAAATCAAACCTATAAATCATATAAATCAAACCCGCAAAATTATAATTTGCGAAATTACTGCTGGTAGGACGTCTTGCGAGTCCGTACGGGTAGATACCACCACCCTGCCTATTTGTGCCGTGAAACAGTAATGCGTTTCGGTTTGAAGAGCGTGGCGCCGTAGTTAAAAGTGAGACCTTAGAACTCATGTCTCAAGGTGGGTGGCGGCATTTACGTTATAGATGTCTATGAGATCCGGTAACCACTTAACATCAGGTGGGCCGAGTGCTCGTCCAGCCATTGAAGCAATAATAAAAAAACGCGAAGTTACTACAATTCGTGAAAACCGAAGGATTAAACTTTCCTTTATGGTCCATCGATTTTTGGGGCGGGGAGTTGGTGGGGGAGGGAGAGGGTAAGGGCTTACCCCCTGCATCATTCCAACTCCGCGGGAACCCACACTTATGAAGATATCCATGGTTAATGTTTTTAGTCAAACTCAGAGGGATCTTCCCTCTCCTCCCCAGTTTGACTCCGCCTTATCTCCGTCTTAGCTTAGCAGCCCTAGCTTTTGCAGCTTAGGGACCGTCTGTTGTACCGTGTGAGGTCGAGCGTTGTCGTGTAGGAGCAGCGGGAATGAGCAAATAACCAAGGCAGGTTGAAGATTCGCGAGCTTCTCCAACATTGTGTCCAATGCCTCACTTTAAACATCCGCAGTAATGCTGGTGCCATTACTTACTTGCTTACTGGTGGTAGGACCTCTTGTGAGTCCGCGCGGGTAGGTACCACCACCCTGCCTATTTCTGCCGTGAAGCAGTAATGCGTTTCGGTTTGAAGGATGGGGCAGCCGTTGTAACTATAGTTGAGACCTTAGAACTTATATCTCAAGGTCGGTGGCGCATTTACGTTGTGGATGTCTATAGGAGACAGTAACCACTTAACATCAGGTGGGCTGTGAGCTGGTCCACACACCAAAGCATGTAACGTAATGTTACAACTGAAATCGTCTGCAAAATAAAAAAGCCTTAAAACAAAAGTATTTATGTTCAAAGCAGTTATTTTATCGATTGTACCGCTGAGGTGAGAACAATAGTTCCCACCTCGCCAGGTTCGGCTGGCGCAGACAATGCGCAGCCGCCGGCAGTCGTCACTAGACTTTCTTCTTAGTCTTACGTTTGTATTCGAGTTCAGTTAAAGTTCGTTTTCAAACCAGACGACTTACCTAAAAATAATTTATTTAATTTTTATTT